CGGGCGGCGGTCGTCAGTTGCGTGGGCGGTGGTTCCTCGTTGGCCTTTCGCCAATCCTGGTGTTGCGCTGTCGCGGTCCGATCTACTCCGTTCCGAGCTGGCTCCGGCTCCCGGCCGCCGTGGACGTTGTCCCCGTGTGCTGGCTCCGCGGATCTGGTGGGATGGCGTCGATCCGAAGGAATCTTTTGGCTGGCGCGGCGGCCACATCAAAGTCGACGTCTTTTGGTGCTGATCCCCTTCCTGAAGGCTTCGATGAGGATCTTCCCTTGCCCACCCCCATCCCGAGTGTGAGTGAAAGCCCTTGGTCCCCTACTTTGGTCGACAACGGCACCGCCGTGTCGACCTCCTTCCTGAAGGCGTCGCCCGGGATCTGCAAGGGGGGAGGGGAGTAGTGGTGGCTTGGTGGCGGCGTTGTAGGCATGTTCTCTTCTTCAGCAACATGCCTGACTTCGGTTGGTGCTTGGTGTTTCCCCTTTTGGCCGACCCCTTGGATTGCACCTTCGATCAACAACTCTTGCCCGGTGTGGTGCCTTTCCGATGCCGACGATGGTGCCTGTGTGGTTGTTACTCGTTGCTTGCGGGTGTGTCTCTACTGTTCTCCTTTGACAGCTTGGGCACCATGGCTCTGGGTTCTAGAGAGCCACTCTGCCGCCCGCCGGTGTGGCACCCATAGAGCCGGGAGAAGGGTTGTGGCCCTTTGCGGGGTTGAGACAAACCATGTCTGGCCCCTGTTTGGTCCTTTGGATGCGGTCAGCGACACAATGCAAGCGCGGTGTGTTCTCTTCTCGTGGTACTGTTGCTTTTTTGGTGTTGGCACAACGGTTGTCGGTTGAGTCTGTTCTGTGTTGTGCCTTGTATCTTTTACTTCCGTCTTGCTTTTATTTTCGCTGCAATGTGTTGCTCTTATAATCCTGACCGGTTGATGGCTTTGTTAATTGAAAGTCAGACAAGGTTCGAGCCTTTTCTCGGGCCCTGCCACCGCCTTTTCTCTAAAAAATGGCGAAAATTGCTTTTGGAGCTTGGACTCCATCGAGGGCTCCAAATTCAGATTTTAAATTTCATCAAAATTCATATATTTACAATTGAAAAAATTCTGATTTTTTACATATATGCTTGAAGGCATAACACACATGTGTATCAATTTTCAGGACAAAATACATTGAAAAGAAGGTTGTGCAAAAAAACAAATCATGGGCTTTTTAACACATGATACTATTTATCCTCCTAGGCCATGAATTTATTTTATTATACAAATCGCATTTCAAGGTATTTCATCGTAAAAATTTATACACATAACATCCTTGTTTATTTGCACAATTTTTTCAGATTTTTTTTAAATGGGAAAGTTTGAATTTTGTCTCTTTTTTAAAATTTTCGAGCTCCAATGAGCGCGGTTACCAAAACGACATTCTCCACAAATGGCCTATGTTTTTTTTCTGGAATATCGCATTCACATTCTATGGATACAAATGGACTACACATACAAATCCACAAATCAACTTTTACCATCGTTGTTGACAAGGTTCGCCGATACTAATGTCTTCAGCGAGGAAAAAGTGTTGGATCACCGGTTTTCATCAAAAAAGGACTCGATAAGCTTCAGAAAATGCCTTCAGCAAGGAGCGTACACCGGAATGCCAAATCTAAGATTTTCAAAATTCAAAATTTAGTATTCAAAGGGCACCATCATAGACAAAGTCTTCTGTGGTCAGACCATAAAATTATCTAATACTCTCATATAGGGAAGCAACTTCGTTCATTTTGAATAAGGTCTCTTCGGCCTCTCTCTCCTTAACGACATTCGACTCGGCTCTGTTAAAGAGTCTATGAGCGTTTGTGTCACCAAATTTATTGGCTCTCTTTGGATACTTCTAATTTGTATGTATCAAGAACCCACTAATTAATAAAGAATGAAAAGGGCAAATCTTGCGATTAGTCCATATTAACCACTCATGTGCTTGTCCGGGCATAAAATCCAGCACCAAACATTTTGCTTAAAATTAATGAAATTGTTGCAAGCATGTCCGGGCATAAAAAATCCATCCCTCACCGTTGCAAGCACGTATTCTATCTTTTGTTCTGTTCTCCCAGGCTCCCACTGCCTGCACATCTTCTCCACTCACCTCCGGCGGTCTGGCCTCCGCGCCGATCATGTCCTTGCCTAACCGTGAGTGGCATCCGCCTCGAGCTCTCTCCTCCTTACCCAACCCAACTGGCCCCCTCCCCAGCGTGGCGATGGTATCTACCACGGTCGATCTCTTCCTGGTGAAGTTCGAGCCACGCCTTCTCTCTCTCCCTACAGCGAGCGCGACCAGCCACCGCGCCTCTTCCTCCCTCGCCGAGCGCTTCTGGAAGACCCTCCATTTCGTCCCGGCCGAATGGCCGCTCGACCAAGAGAATGAAGCTCCGACGCTGCTATCTGGTTGTGCCTCACAAGTGTTTGAAGTAATGTCCCACCAGGTGAACCCGCGTTGTTTATTCTATACTATATACTCAGTTTATTGCGTTAGCTCATCTATCATGCTTCTCGAATTCCAAATCGGTGGACATTTTCAGTTAGTAGTTTGCCCTTTTTATTCGCAGTATGTAAAATATTTCCCGTCTTCAACCAGGACATCTTTGAATTCTCATTTGCCCCATTCAATTCATTTAATTGCCATTTTGTAAAAAAAAGGAGATAAATTCTGTCCTAAGCATATTACTTTGATGAGGGCTTCGAGCAAGCAAACATTGCTTCACATTTTAATAAAAAATTATGAAACTGTTTCTCGTATAGGTGTTGTAAGTTGTAACACTTAATTGAACTGCTTCTATGATCCAAATCAAGCGCTCCGGTGGTAGTCACTAGTCAACCAAATATGGTCAACAAATAACGGCCTTCCAAAATTCGCTCCTGCTGAAAGCAAACTATTCTTGCGAAATAGTAGTGCATTTATAAGTGACCACGTGCTTAGCTCATACAAAGATACCTTTTGTCAACAGTTCTCGTTCCCACCCAGAGTTAGAACTTCCATATATTTTGACAAACTATACTTGGACTAGTGCATTTAAAAGTCAGCTTAGTTCATACAAAGTACTTCCTTCGTTCCTAAATATTTGTCTTTCTAGAGATTTCAACAAATGACTACATACGGAGCAGAATTAGTGAATCTGCACTCTAAAATATGTCTATATACATTCGTATGTGGTAGTCCATTTAAAATCTCTAAAAAGACAAATATTTAGGAATGGAGGGAGTAGCAAAGATACAATCCAGCGAAAATGGCTGTTCGGGCAACAAAGAAGTGTACCTTCTAAAAATTTTATTTTATTCTGAAAGGCAAATGATAATTCAACCAAGTCGTAGAGGAGGATCTTGAATGCCCAATCCCCTTACCAACAAAATAGCGTACCTTCTAAAAAGATTATTTTACTGTGGAAGGGAAATGATGTTTTGACCAAGTCATTGGAGGAAAATGTTGAACGCTCAATCATCTATCTCCTTAGTGTTGGCATCATTCCCATGACCTCAACGTCAACATTTCTCTTGTCCACCGGAAATTAGGACTTTATATTTCGTCACTTGTGTCACAATAGGAAATATTATGCTCATAATTGTGATATAACGGTGTATTTAAATATCAGTACCTGCTTAGCTGACACAAATGACTATTTGCTAAAAGTGTTTTTTAAGTATACCTCCTAAGAACATGAAAAGAACGCTCAATTATTTATTCCCTTTAAAGTGTTGGTAACGTGTTGCTTTCATAAATCCTTCATTCCCTTTGTACTCAACATTTTGATTGGTCAATCTTTATTAAGGAGTACAACACAATGGTTAACACAACTTGCAACATAAGTTTTGTAGGATATTTTTTATGGCAACAAGTTCATAAATAAGATTACGACACACTGGTTGTTTATAAAGGTAACAGTAGATCGATCAATCTTTATTAAGGAGAAAGCATATAATGAAGTGCATACAGTGCAACAAACACGTGCACCCATGGGCACATACCGCATTTCTACTTCAAATATACCTACAGTTGGTAATTTTACGTAATGCAACATGGTACAGATACACGAAGCTCTGAAGCTCTCTGATAACAAAGGTGGCAGAGAAGCAAACAAGGAATGCAACTACTAACACAGTGATTTCTTCATTTGCAGGATGCTTTTCTGTACCATACGAGGAGGGCTGGTTGTCATTTGAATGAGGGCTGGGAGCCGCAGGTGAGTTGAAAGATAAGAGTGTATCACCAAGGAAAGACTGCTCATTGAAAGTGGAGAGTTGCCCAGTGTTTGGGACCTCTCCTGAGAGAAGCGGGTTGTACGAAACATTGAATGTACTTAGTTTAGACAACTTGCCTAGGCTTCATGGGAGTGCACCGGAGAAATTATTCCAAGACAATCGAGGCTCCCGAGGGAATTCAGGTGACCCACCGTGAATGGAATCTGACCAGAAAAGAATTGTTAAATAAATTTAGAGCAACTAGTTGCATCGAACTTATTTCTCATGGTAGGTGTCCAGAGAGCTGGTTGCCATCAAGCAGGAGCAAGCTAATGTTCTTCATTGCGCTAATTGTGGAGGGTATCTCCCCGCTCAGTAGGTTTCCTAGCAGCTGAACATATCCTAAGGTTGTTCGTAATGGTGAAGATACTGGAAGTATGTCATACCCCATGAGGAGCCTGTTCTACATGGTTAGGCAGTTCTTCTGAGACATCATCATTGATTCAACAAAGTCAAACTCTGGATAACTTGCTGGCACCCACCGGTAAACAGCAAAACATTTACTCGTGGCAGACTTGATCAGTGAAGGATTTCTTCTGTTCTTGGCAAAGGTTGGACTGGGGTTCCTCCCCATACTTGCCATCTCTGGCGGGATTTTGCCAGATATCTGGTTTCCAACAAGGTTGAGCCAGAGCAAGATAGTACAGTTTCCTATCTCCCTTGGGATCTCTCCTGAAAGTTGGTTCCTAGCCAGCATCAACAAGAGAAGCGGTGCCAGGTTACCAATCTCTCATGGGATCTCGCCGGAGAGGTTCTTGTACAACAAGCCCAATGCTTGGAGCCTCAGAAGCCGACCATATGATGTTGGGATTTTACCAGAGAAGTTATTATTTGCAAGCTCGAGGGATTCGATGCTTGTCATGCTAGCGATTTTGCTAGGCAGCTTGCCGGAGAATTTGTTAAAGTTGAGGTCAAGATAGATGAGATTTGGCAACTGTAGAATGCCAGAGGAGATAGTGCCCCCACTATAATTATTCCCTTGAAGCACAAGGCTCTTCAGGCTAGTTGATTTTCCAAGGACCTGTTGCACCTCCCCTCCAAAGGTATTCTGACTGATCTCCAGAAATTTTAGGTTGGTGCAATTCATCAGCTCAAGTGGTATCCTGTGATGGAACTGGTTGCTCGAGAGACCCAGCTCTTCGAGTCCCGCAATCGAGCCAATTCCTGGTGGTATAGATCCACCAAAGCTATTGTTCCACAGGGACATGGCTTTCAAGCTTGAGCAATTGGCAATTGAATTTGGGAAACTGCCAGACAGCTGGTTGCTGGAGATATCCACAGATTGCAGCTTGCACCCCTTAGGAAACGTGCTCGAAGGAATGCTCCCTGTGAGGTTGTTTGCTGCGGCTGTGAACCGTGTAAGCCTTTCAATCCCTTTCCATACAGCTTTTCCGGTGAATTGGTTCCAGCTCAGATCAACATCACTGAGCTTGGAGCAGCCACTGAATAGCCCACTTATCCTGCCTGTAAGGTTGTTGCCAGAGACAGCAATAACACTGAGGTTGTGGTAGATGGACGGGAAGTTTGTCCTAATGTCGCCCTGGAACCGATTATGGGATAGATCCAGTATGCGTAGGTTGGTCAGGGTGGACACATCAAGGGCGCCACCGATGAGGTTGCTTGATAAGTTGAGGTACTGGAGACCCCGACAATGCTTGAGATCTGGATGCAATTGGCCAGTAATACTGTTTGCTGAGAGATCGAGGTGCGTGAGCCGGGTGAGACATGAAAACTTACCGAAGGACGGACTGGTGATGCTAGAACTCGAGAGGTCGAGATAACTGACACGGCCGGCCGCGTCACACCCAACCCCTTGGAGACAGCACGGCGAGACCTCGGCCTCCGACCAAGTGTCATAGGCGCCACGGTTGATCGGGTTTTGCGCCTGCAGGAAGCTCTTCAGTTCGCGGAGCACCTCCCTATCACTTTGCCCCAGGATCACCTCAGCTGTTGCAGCAGTGCCAGATTAAGTCAGAGGCCATTGTTAGTCTGGATTAAGCAAGAAATGCAATGGAACGTGTGATTGATCATACAGGCAGGAGGATTTCATTTCCATACATACCGATGATAAGTGCCTGACAAAATGCAACAAGAATGTGGCGAAAAGCAGCCATGGATCTGAATAAAGACATAAGTATTAGGAGTTTGGTTTGCAACTTGTACCTCAGTGTTTGTAGGATCCTCATCCTTGTCACCAAAAAGACTCTTCTGCAGGCCACTTTAGAGATTTCACCATCAGTAGTAACTTGTCTTTGGTGCTAGGCCAGACGGTCAAGTAATGGATGTGTGAGTGTGTGGTCATCATCCACAGGATTCTCAAATGCCGTGTATTCTCTGTTAAAATAGGTCTAGCGTGTCGTGTACACGTACTTTGTACGTATGTGATTGTATATGCTGATTGTTATATATAGAAAGATGTGGGGAGGCTTTTTCCCCACGGGAAACCCTAAACCCTATTCTCAAACTTGGTTTCAGAGCCTACTCTAGCCGCCGCCGCCTCTCCTCCCACCGCCGCCGCCGCCGCAGTTCTTCGCGGCCACCGCGATGTCCACCACAACGGCACCCATGATGACTCCCTCCTCCGTGCTCACGCTCACCACCCTCTCCGTGCCCGCCCCGACCGCCCCCATCATCGCTCCACCCGCCACGTCGGCTCCCACCCCCGTCCTTCCACCCATCGCGGTCTCGCTCGACCGCAATAACTTCATGCTATGGAGGGCCCTTTCCCTTCCCAACTTCGCCGGAGTTTGCCTCCATAGCTTCCTCGACGGCTCGGCCAAGGCGCCAGCGCCGACCGTGATGACAAGCACCGGCGAGGCCACCCGCACCGTGTCCAACCCTGAGTATGAGCAGTGGTGGACGATGTATCAGAAGGTTCTCAGGCATCTCCTCAGTTTAATGAACGTGGAGATCTCCGCGTAGCTCATCGGCTGCACAATGGCGGCCGCCGCCTGGACGGTCGTCCATACCATGTTCGCCACCGAGAACAGCGCCGGCGTGCGTAACCTCCGGCGCCAGATCCAAGCGCTGCGGAAGGGAGATCGCCCCACCGGCGAGTACATGCAGAAGGTCAAGGCCCTCGCTGATGCGATGGCCGCCGTTGGCTCTCCTCTTTGCGATGATGAGATCATCGACTACATGCTGACCGGTCGGCTCGGCGTTCAACCCCATCGCTGCTTCGATGAGCTTCACGGGCGTACCTTTCACGTTTCCCGCATTCTACTCTAGTGTTCTTCACTATGAGGCCCTTCAGCAGCAGCAGTTGGAACTTGAGGATTGGCAGTCCTCCGCCAATGCTGCGTCCCGGCCAGTCTACCACAACAACTCCGGCCGCGCCCCCGACTCTGGCCGCCCAAGCGAAGGCCGTCCCTCCGCTGGCTCTCTCCAGCCCGGCTCAGGAGGCTACGACAGCAGCTAGGGCAACCCTCCTGGCTGCAACAACAACAACAGCGGCAAGAGCCGCAACGGAGGAGGAAACAGAGGAGGTAACGGGGGCGGCCGCAACCGGCGCTAGCGTCCCCGCTGCCAGATATGCAAGAACTAGGGTCACGAGGCCGGCGACTGTCGCAGCCGCTATGAGCATGACCACCGCTCCGCCAACTCCGCGTCCACATCCTCCTCCCATGAGCCGCCGCACTGGATCCTAGACACCAGTGTGATGGACCACCTGACGAATGATCTCGACCGTCTACACTTCCACGAGCACTTTGGCGGGAAGGATCAAGTGCAAGTAGCAAATGGTGCAGGTTTGTCTATTTCGCATATGGGTCATTCCACTATACCCGGTTCATCCCTTCGTTTACACAATATTCTTCGTCTTCCACATATTCATCAACATCTTCTCTCTGTTTATCGTCTCGTCCTTGATAATGATGTTTTTGTGGAATTTCACCGTTTCTTTTTCCTTGTTAAGGACACAGCCACGAAGAAAATCCTTCTTCATGGTAGATGTCATGGCGGACTCTACCCCATCCCGTTTAGTCGCGCGTCGTCCTCCTCCAACCGCCAAGCGTCTCTCAGCATCAAGACCACCTCGTCCAAGTGGCACCAGCGTCTCGGTCATCCTTCGAATAATATTGTTCAAAACATTGTTAGGAATAATGATTTAGTGTGTTCTTCTGAACGTCAGACTTCCGTGTGTGATGCTTGTCAGCGTGCTAAAAGTCGACAATTGCCTTATAATTTATCACATCATGTTTCCACTATGCCTCTCGAGTTAATTCATTCTGATGTTTGGGGCCTGCTATTGCCTCTTCCGGAGGCTATAAGTATTATGTGAGCTTTGTTGATGATTATTCTCGCTTCTCTTGGATTTATCTCCTTAAGCACAAGTCTGAGGTTGAGCAAGTTTTTAATGCCTTTCAGGCTCATGGTGGGCGTCTCCTCCACACTAAAATCATAGTTGTTCAGTCAGACTGGGGTGGTGAGTATCACCGACTGCACCAGTATTTCCAACGCACTGGAATATCTCATCGTGTGTCTTGCCCGCACACCTCTCAGCAAAACAGCATTGCTAAACGCAAACATTGTCACCTTGTCGAAACAGGTCTTGCCTTGCTGGCTCATTCCTCTCTCCCATTGCATTTTTGGGATGAAGCATTCCTTACGGCATGCTATCTTATTAATCGCATGCCGATAACAAGTTTCTATCGTCTCCTTAAGGTACACCCCGATAACAAGTTTCTTCGCACTTTTGGTTGCGTGTGCTGGCCTAGTTTGCGTAAATATAACGCACACAAGCTTGCTTTCCGTTCCACCATGTGTGTTTTCTTGGGATATAGTCCGATGCATAAGGGGTACAAGTGTCTTGATCATTCTACGGGACATATCTACATCTCTCATGACATCGTTTTTGACGAGTCTGTTTTTCCCTATGCAACTCCTGGGGTCACTGTCGGTGTCAAAACCGGCGGATCTCGGGTAGGGGGTCCCGAACTGTGCGTCTAGGCGGATGGTAACAGGAGACAAGGGACACGATGTTTTACCCAGGTTCGGGCCCTCTTGATGGAGGTAAAACTCTACGTCCTGCTTGATTAATATTGATGATGTGTGTTACAAGAGTAGATCTACCACGAGATCAAGGAGGCTAAACCCTAGAAGCTAGCCTATGGTATGATTGTTGTTCGTCCTACGGACTAAAGCCATCCGATTTATATAGACACCGGAGGGGGCTAGGGTTACACAGAGTCGGTTACAATGGTAGGAGATCTACGTATCCGTATCGCCAAGCTTGCCTTCCACGCCAAGGAAAGTCCCATCCGAACACGGGACGAAGTCTTCAATCTTGTATCTTCATAGTCTTGGAGTCCGGCCGATGTTGATAGTTCGGCTATCCAGACACCCCCTAGTCCAGGACTCCCTCAGTAGCCCCTGAACCAGGCTTCAATGACGACGAGTCCGGCGCGCATATTGTCTTCGGCATTGCAAGGCGGGTTCCTCTTCCGAATAATTTATAGAAGATTGTGAACACCAGGATAGTGTCCGGCTCTGCAAAATAAATTCCAAATACCACCGTAGAGAGAATAATATTTACACAAGTTTAATCTGCTGACGTATTTCGTGGTGTGACGTCACACCACTACCAAGCCTTTACTCGAATTGTTTTTATTGTACTACCTCAGCGCGTTTAGCGAAGCGGTTTCCTTGGCACGTCTTTGTCGAAGCAGAGATCGTGTTCCCCTTATTCCGGGATTCCCATCAATACGGACGTGGGTAACCCAACCGCGCCATTGATTGCGGCGCTTGGGGGACAAGTGAGTTTTATCAGGCCGGTGGGGACGCATGTTTGTGTCCGCCCATATAAGGGGATAAAGATCCAACCCTTTTACCAGCGCCTTCTTCCTCCTTGGCTTATCCATCTCCGCGAACTCGAGCTCCAGCGCCCAAGTCCGCACATCTCACCTCAACCTCCTCCAACTATGTCCGGAGCAGGAGGCAAGTGGATGGCCTCCTCCGTCACGGAGGGGCAGATCCAAAAGTTGCGCAGCGCCGGATATTTGTCCAGCAACATCGTGCACCGGCTCCCTGACGAGGGAGAGCTCATCCCCACCCCCAGGCCCCATGAGAGGGTAGTATTTCTTCCCCATTTCCTCCGCGGACTGGGCTTCCCACTTCATCCCTTTGTCCGGGGGCTCATGTTCTACTACGGCCTGGATTTCCATGATCTGGCCCCGAATTTCATCCTCAACATCTCGGCATTTATAGTCGTGTGTGAGGCCTTCCTCTGCATCCAGCCCCACTTCGGCTTGTGGCTCAAGACTTTCAGTGTCAAGCCGAAGGTTGTGAAGGGCAGCCAAGCGGAGTACGGAGGCGCCATGGTGGGCAGGATGTCCCACGTTACTTGGCTTGAAGGCACTTTCGTGGAAACCATCAAGGGGTGGCAATCGGGGTGGTTCTACGCGTGACCCTGAATGGGCAGCGGCCCCCGAATTCAGATCTGGCATCCCCACACGGCTCACCTCCTGGAAAGAGAGCGGCCGGACATGGGGTGATTCGGAGGAGCTGACCGGACTCCAAGCCTGCATCCAAAAGCTAGTGGACAAGAAGCTCAAGCTTGTCAACGTAGTCCAGGTCATGCTCATCCGCCAGATTCTCCCGTGCCAACGACAGGGCTTCAACATGTGGGAGTTCGATCCGGCGCAGCACCAGACTTTGAGCGGGCTCTTCGACACTACGTACGAAGATGTCTGGAAGGTGCTGTTCAAGGGCGCCGAGGCTCCCGCATCTGCTACCGAAGATTGCGGATTCAGCTCACAGCGTCCAGCTGACGAGGTAAGTGATTTTGTCCTTTACGGGACGCGTTTGACTCTATGCGGGATCTAAACTCCCTTTCCTTTGACAGGACTGGCTGAAGAAGGCCGAACAGACTATCTGTCCGGCCCCATTACCAGAGGACCCAGCGGACGCCCGCTTAACGGGGCTGCTGGCTCCGGCACCCCACGTGGTGTCGGAGAAGAAGGCCAAGAAGAAGGCCACGGGCACTCGGAAGAGTTCCCGTTTTCAGGTGCTATCGGATGATGACTCCGAGGCAGACTCCTCCCACAAAGGCGAGGAGGAGAAAAGAAAGCCTCTCCCCCGGTGGGGGGAGGGAAGAAAAGGAAGGCCTCCCCAACGA